AGCATGCTGGCTGCAGAATTCTTAAACTCGCCAAAACGGAGAAACACTGGGCTTAGATCAGGGGTCTTCAAACTTGGCCCTTTTATGACTTGTGGACGTCAACTCCCAGAATTCCTCAGCCAGGCACGTCTGGCTGAGCAATTCTGGGAGCTGAAGTCCACAAGTCATAAAAGGGCCAAGTTTGAAGACCCCTGGCTTAGATGATGAAGTTTACATTCTAGCTTTCAACTGAATGAATCTTCCTGGTGGAAGAGGCTTAATTGGGTCTCAGTACACTACTGTTTTGTTGTTTTGTAGAGGATACTTTGGAAAAGGCTAGAACATTCTGGATTCTGGAATTAAAGCCACATGGAATAATGTGCCAAGTGAGCTGTGGCCATGCTGTTGGAGGAGTATCAACTTGGCAAGATTTGGTCTATACGGAAATGTAATCCGAAAAATAGATTTTCATCCACTTTTTAAAATGTGCAAAGTCAACAATTAAGCAGGTCGGGGCAGCCACATCAGGAGGTTTATGATCAGAGCTCTGTGCTTCTGTTAAACTTTGAGGCTGCATTATTTTAGAATATTGTAGTTTTGTTTAAATTAATTCATTCCATCTGCACATCTGAAACACATCCATAATCAAACCTCTTTTTTGGCTTTTTAAAGGTGTTTGCCCGTATCTCAGCAGAAGAGGTTGCTTGGATTTCTGAGAATGAGAAACACTAACAGTTGCTTCTTTTAGCTGTAATACTTTCGTTAAACAAGTAATATTTTATTAAATGGTCAAAGATGCCATTTTACAGAAGGGAGCCGGTTTTTGAAGGTTGACAAAATTGTACACTTTGCATTGCTTCCAACTATTTAAAGCACTTTGTATGTATTATTATAGGGCTACTATATCTAAGCTACAAGAATTTAGATAACCACTACATGGCAGCAAACACCAGTGGAAACTGCTAATGCTGCCAACTAAGGAGCCCTGGTGACCCAGTGGTTTTAGAATGCAGTACTGCAGGCTACTTCTTTTGACTGATGGCTGCCAGCAGTTCGGCAGTTCGATTCTCACTGGCTCAAGGTTGACTCAGACTTCCATCCTTCCGAGGTCGGTAAAATGAGGACCTAGATTGTTGGGGGCAATAGGCTGATCCTGTAAACTTCTTTAAAAGGGCTATACAGCTCTGTGAAGTGGTATATAACTATTGCTATTCATCCAGATATTTAATCTGAGATGCCACCTGTGCAGGTAGTGCTCACTTACAAGAGTTTATTTAGTGACTGTTCAAAGTTACAATGGTCCTGAAAAAAGCCATTGAGATGCCACCTGTACAGGTAGTGCTCACTTACAAGAGTTTATTTAGTGACTGTTCAAAGTTACAATGGTCCTGAAAAAAGCAACTTATAATCGTTTTTTACTTATGACCGTTGTAGCACCCCCATGATTACGTGATCAAAATTCGGATGCTTGGCAACTGGTTCATATTTATGACGGTTGCAGTATCCTGGGGTCACGTGATGCTCTTTTCTAATCTTCTGACATGCAAAGTCAATGGGGAAGCCAGGTTCTCTTAACAAGTGTGTTACTAACTTAACAACTGCAGCGATTCACTTAACAACTGTGGCAAGGAAGATCGTAAAATGGGGTAAACGTCTCGCTTAGTAACAGAAATTTTGGGTTCAGTTGAGGTCGTAAGTCGAGGAATACCTGTAATTCACATGATTCTCACTTGTCATTATTAGCCTTACAAGCCGGTATTAGCATTCTCCATGTTGCTATGTTAATAGTTTATCAACTGATGAAAGGTTATTGCCTCTACATTCCATAATTGCTCTCATTACTTAACATGCCACTTGCCTCCAGTGTAGCAAAGGGAAATGCCAATTTACCACTGCAGTATTACCTTTAATATAGTACAAATTTAACTTTGTAGCTTATCTCCCGAAAAGTGTTGACAATATGTTAGCAAAGAAATATCACATGCAGCTGAAAAAGTGTGAATATCACCCATCTCTGAGGTTCAGCCAAAATCTCAACAGTGCAGCAATGAGCTGCTGCAATGAAAATATTAAGATATAAGCCAACATAACCTTTTTCTCTTCATTTTGAGACTTAAGACCTTTATAGGAAAAATACTCTGAGCCATTAATTTTACAGGACTCTTATAAAATACACAGGTTTTAAGGAACTATTATTGCTTTGTATGATTATTGCACAAAAACTTTTGAAGAGAGTAAAAGATTAGTTTGCTAAATAAAGAAAGATGTAAACCAGGGGTAGTCAAAAATCAGAAGGATAAGCTTATGTATTTTATTAAAAATTACTTGGAAAAAGCGTTGCTAAATAATAGTTTTGAAACTATTATTTTGGATACAGTGGCAAGAATTCAGCACTTCCTCCCTTAGTTAAAATAAGTATATTTATTGGCTAAACTTTTGCCTCTTTACAAATGAAAGGCCCATGAAGAGGACACTTTGTTCACGTCTAAACACCCCAGTTCCTCTATTTTCTCTTTGAATTTAGCTTCCTGTTCCTTCATCATTCATGTTTATTTCTATAAATGTCTTCTACTTTGTCTGAATCCCTCTCAAAAGTGTGATGTCCAGCCCTTGAGGCAAGAACCTATTGCCCATGAGTGAAGAAAGTTCTAGAATTCTCACCCCAATTAATAGGGAAAACCCTACCTTAGCCTCAGTCCTGCAGTTACATTTAGTTGCCAACCCTGGAATGTCAGTCATAAAGTAAATCAGTGGTTCTCAACCTTTTTAATGCCGCGACCCCCAACCGGTCGTAAGTCGAGGACTGAACCGGTTGTAAGTCGAGGACTAAACCGGTCGTAAGTCGAGGACTACCCAACCGGTCGTAAGTTGAGGACTTTCCCTGCCCAGGAGTGCTGCGCATGCGTGGTTCCGCCCCCTGCGCCGGCCGAGGCGTAGCTGGCAAGCGGCAGAGACGGAGCAGGCCGACCACCAGCTGGCCCAGCTCAAGAGAGGTAAGGCACCCGCCGGAAAAGGGGAAAAAAAAGGCGGACAGCCTTGCTTGGCGACCCCTGTGAAATGGTCGATCGACCCCAAATGGGGTCGCGACCCATAGGTTGAGAACTGCTGATGTAAATAATCAGAAGCTCCAGTTTGTCAACCAACTCTCCCTGACCCCACAATGGCCTTCTTTAAATGCAGCTTTATATAACAAATCTCTGGAAGAGTCCAAATCCATTATTAATGAATTGAATCAGCAAGAGATTCACACATGCCCCAAATCAGTAGAAGGACAGAAAAACAACAACGACAACGACATAGTCATGGAAGTTTGTTTGCTTATTTGTTTCAAATGTCACATTTAATGTTTTCACCACTGTACTTCAAAATCTACATTGTACAAAGTGACCCGCAAGTGTGCCACATTTAACAGACCAACCTCTGAGATTTTACCTTTCATACCAGTGTCTTCATGGGCTCTTTTTAAGTTAAAAACACGATTCTCGTTCAAGTTCATTGAAATGTTGCAGTTGGTTTTGTTTGCTTTAAATTCTCAGGAGCCACACAAAAAAACAAAGATATTTCAGCATCTTTGTTTGAGAAATTCAAAATTCGTCTTCTTTCCCCCAGCAAAATGACTACTTCATTGAAGTTAAAACTTCCAAAAACGTAAACTAATAGAATCCAGTTCCAACTCAGATCACCCTTCCTGAAAATACTCTGCTAAATACAGATAACTTACAATAACTTTAACAGTTAATTGTCCATGACAAACACCAAGGTTTCTCTTAATTTTTTTAATATCCCAGACCAACATTCAAAAATTCAAGACCATTTGTTATTTCTTTGTACAGTTGAAAAACAGTCTTCAATTTTTCTTGCCTTTTTTTAAATACAAAAGTTGGAAGGGACATTCAAGTTTCAAGTCTCCACACTGGACTAAAAAAAAAAAAAAATCAGGTGGAGGTAAACAAGCCATGTTGTATACTTCCAGGAGGTAGAGGCCTTCAATTTGTGTTCATATATATATATACATATGCACAGAATAATTCAGTGTTTGAACAGAACACACACAAAAAGGAATTAGCCAAAAAGTAATAAAAGTTATTTACTACTGTGACATTTCAAGACTTCCACAGCTTTGCCTAATGACACAAATACAATTAACATAATTCCCTATGTGCTTTCCCCCACTATTTTTTTTTCATTTCTTTTTCATCCAACTGTCCAGTGCAGGATTTAAAAAAAAAAAGAAATCACCAAGTTTCACAGATCTAAAAATGTGTAAACTACTTTTTCATGTGCGCTCTCTCTCTCTCTCTCACACACACACACTCTCTCTCCATGGCAATGGATATCAAGATTTTTTTTTAAATATTAGCCCCCAAATGGAATGCGTGCTGGGGCAGAGGGAAGGGAAGAGAAAGGGATGGTTCATGTAAGAAAAAGAGCAGAAAAAGCTTCTAATAAAAATAGATTAAATATATATATTTATATATATTTATTTATAACTCGGGAGGGGTTCAAAGGAAAAGACACTTTTCTCTCCTAGTCAAAACTCATTCTCTCTACTCACAAAATCAGACTGGAAAACAGCACACAGGCATCACCCCTTTGCTAGGGAGAAGCTATGGAGATGGATGTGACCACCAGGTGACTGTGCCCACTCACGCTTGGGCACTGCCCTCTGATGAGGCTTTATGATTGGTCATGATTAAGCTTTGTATTCCCTGTTTTGTTTTTCAAGCAAAAGTCCCAATTCTTCAGGAATGGTTCAATATCAAAATAGCTTGTCCTTTTATACAATTTCACTTTTAAAACTGAAGAAAAACAAATTGGTTCAACCTTTTTTTCTTTTTGTTCCGAGCCAAGCAAGATTCACAGCTGCACTACAATTCATAAATTTAAAAAAAAAAAAAGGTGCAACCCTGGATAAAATATATACTTTTTTTTTTCTAAAAGCACAACCCCACCTTTGACAGGATTTAAAAGCCTAGTTAACATTTTACTAACTCTTATTTGTATAACATACAAGGATAGTGGTTGTTAATTTAAAACTTCATTAGTAAAATTACAGTACAAGCATGATTAAATCTCCAGAATTGCAAATCCCAGAATCCAGTGGAAAGCTACATTGTGTCTTCAGTAGTATACTGTATCTTCCACTTTCATTCCCAGACCAGTGGAGATGGTGGCATCTCAGACGGCTGAGCAACAGTGGAACTGGAAAGCAATAAACAGAGAAGATCAACTTTCCCCCTCAAGAGGTTGGAGGGGCACAGAGAATGCTAAGAACACACACACACAAATTTAATCATAAATCCTACGCTGGAAGTACCGTTGGGAATTACTATCACATGTGGTGGCAATGCCCAAAGGCACAAAAATTTTGGAACTTATTAAAGAAGTGGTTGGAAGAAATTTTGCAAATAGATATAGAAGCCAAACCGGAATTTTTCTTATTGGGAATTATAGAAAAAATATATAAGAAAGACACAAATTATTTACTACTGCATATAGTAACAGCGGCACGAATAGCCTTCGCTCAAAAATGGAAAGAGAAAAATACTCCAACTGAAGAGGAAATATTGAAAATTTTCAATTGCACTGAAATGGATAGACTTACATGGGAACTCAAGGACAAAAGTGAAAGCAAGTACTATAAAATCTGGGAACAATTTTATGATTGGATAGACAATAAGAGGGTAGCCAAGATAAATGTATAGTGCTAGAATAAAATATAGATTATAGACAAATGTATATTTAAAAGATAGATATATAGAAATAAGGGAAAAAGTGTTAATAGTATATTATAAATAGTGAGCAAAGTTCAAGAGCTATATGTCTATATGAGTACTAATACTATTGTAAAATGTTGGAAGATGTATGGAACCAGTGACATCATATCTATGTCCAATGTGTTTTTAATTTTGTATTATTAATAAAAATTTATTAAAATTTTTTTAATCATAAATCCAATTTAAAAAAATCACCATAAAACCGGAAGCCCTTCCAACCCAGGAGGGATGAGAATTTCTACCTTGAGAAAGAAAGATACTCTTCTGCTTTGACCATAGGGGAGTGAAAGCAGAAGCTTAGGGAGAATAAGGCATCCTGGGGCAAAGTAAGGCTCCTCCCACTTTTCTTCCTAAGATTACTGCAACATGCAGCAATGTTTTAGATTGCTGCAATGCGATCTACATGAGGCTACCCTTGAAGAGCATTTGGAAACTTCCACTGGTGCAGAATGCAGCTGTGTGGGCAGTAAATGATGCATGGCACTAGTAACACCACTTCTATATGAGCTGCATTGGTTACTAGTATGCTTCTGGGTGAAATTCAAAGTCCTGGTTTTCACTTTTAAAGCCCTAACTGGGTTATCTGAAGGACTGTCTTTTTCCAAGTGTCTCTACCTCTCCAGTTGGATTCAACAGACTGGGCACGCTGCTGATCCCGTTAGCCAGGGAGAGGGCTGATTGGCAAAAAAACCCTTCTCTGCTGTAGCCCCTGCTTTGTAGAATCCTCTCCCTTCTGAGATTAGAATGGCCCCAACCCTGTTGGCTTTTTTGTAAAGCTTTAAAAACTTGGCTATGTATCTAAGCCTGGAGTTTGGAACGGGTTAAGGCCCCCGTTTGTTGGTTGGTTAACTATCTTGGCTGCTGTATGTATTTATTTATTTTTTGATGTTTTATTCTTTTATTGTTTTAAATTGTTTTAATGGTTTTATACTTTTAGAACTGTAAGTCACCCAGAGTCACTTAGTTGAGATGCAACTATAGAAATTGAATAAATAAATAGTAAATAAATTAAAAAAACACTTAGATTCATGGTTTCGTCATCTCCTGCCAAGATCATGACTAGTTTCTACCAGGTCCTTTTTATCACAGTTCAGTCCTCTTGTCTCTAATCAAAACTCAGTTTGTCCTCAATTTTTGTGGTTTAGGGCACATAACATCCATTTTATGTTTTTTTCTTCAGTATCTTCATTCTTTCCATATATTCTTAGGAAAAGTCCCTCATGTCTCTGCCTACATTCTTTTGCTTCCCCCTTAGGAGAGAACTCTAATTTAAAGATTCTAAATGGAACCACTATGGTTCTCGGTTATTTAAATAATTCTTCTCCCATTGGTTTTGTGAAGCTTTGCACTTAAGACCTCAACAACAATTAATACTAAATATTATAATTAGGACTATGCCCAGTGTCCTCGGCTATTGTGAAAGGACCAACTGCTGACAGGATAGAGTATTTTGGAGTACACTTCTCTTATGTGTAATTTATTATAAGCCATCTTGAGGTTTACCCACTTAAAAGGGGGACATAGTTGTTTAAACAGAGATAGACAAGTCAAAAATCATATTCCTGAGTATTGCTGGGTAGGACTGAAGTAACTTGAACTCTCCCTTTCTGCTTTCTCTCTTGCACAAGGATTGTGAAATAAGGCTGAAGATTGCATGAAATTATCCACGGAATGTAGATTGCTCGCTCCATCTGAATCAGGGGTAGGGCAACCTTGGCTCTTTTATGACTCGTGGACTTCAACTCCCAGAATTCCAGAGCCAGCCATGCTGAGGAGAAAGGGAAAGGTTTCCATGCTAAGCCATGCTGGCTCAGGAATTCTGGGAGTTGAAGTCCATGAGTCATAAAAGAGCCAAGGTTGCCTGCCCCTGATCTAAATTAAACAAACTGTATTGTTACTTTACTTTCCTATGTTGATTTTTGCCTAAGTTTAAATTTTGATTCTAAACTTTAAGGGGACGAGTGTTTTTCCTTTGCTCACATCAAATTACCATATATATTGCACCATTCAACACCAATGATGCAGAAGCTTGAATGCTCTTCCTTCCACAACTAGACAGGAAGATAATGGCTTGAATACCAGGCTGTGATCTGCTAAGGCAGTGTTTCTCAACCTTGACAATTTTAAGGCATGTGGACTTCAACTCCCAGAATTCCACAGCCAGCATTGCTAGCTGTGGAATTCTGGGAGTTGAAGTCCACATGCCTTAAAATTGTCAAGGTTGAGAAACACTGTGCTAAGGGATAGCTGGTTCCATGGGATGAAACAGCCACAATGCAAAATTCTTACTTCTTTATTCATCCAAAGGAGATTACAGGCAGACAAAAAATTCCAAGGCAGCAACCTAACTGTTTAATTCTTTTCGTGCCGCATTTTGGCTGCTTTTGGTTAACATAAAAACTAGCAGTAGAAGAGAACATATGGAACTCAGGATTGTGAGTCCTTATAGTGCTCTCTGTGCTTGATTGGTAATGAAACATCTGCAAGGAAACAAACTAGGTAACATCATCAGAACTTGTGGTCTAGCATTGGTAATGTTATCTAGTTTGGTAATGAAACATCTGCAAGAGAACAACCAAGCTCAGAGAGCACCAAGGATCCCACAAAAATCTATCATTCAAAATCTTAAAGCATTCTTAACAAATCAGGCATGCAGGTAATGTTACTGGAAGGGTCCTTAATTCAAAGAGGATTTTTAAAAAAATGTTTCACCATTAAGGAAATAAATGAATATCAGAAGTGATTACATACAGTTACCTAATAAAGCTCTTAAAAGCAGCAGATTGTGGATTGATGCATAAAGGTACTCTATTTCCTTTCTGCTGTTCCAAAATGAACTGATGGATTATTTCTGGAAAAAAAGGAGGAGAAAAAAAATAAAATCCAAATTCATGCTTTCCAATGCAAATTGTACAAGACAGGATATTGTTTACTAGTGATTTGTGGCGAGGACACATTTTTATAGATTTATATTTAGCTTTTTGTAAATCACTGGAGATTCCTTGTGGAATGCTGTAAACAAATTAATACCAACCTATATACTGTGCATTTAGGAAATACATCTGCTATAAATTTGCAATAAAATTGTTCACATTCTAACACATACTAATTCCTGCAGCGGATCAGTTTATTGTAATAAAATGTAAAATGTTTAATTCACTTCAGACCGAATTTTCCACAAGGATTGCACAAACTGGCTTTCTACTGTCTTTCCTCTCATACCACATGTGTCCTATGCTTAAAGAAAAATAAAAGTTTTGTTTTGCATATTTATTTATTAGATTCATAACCTGCTTTATTTTGCAGAATTCATTATGACATACCTAGTGCTGTGTCCCATTTTCTGCACAGCAACAACCTGGTATGGTTGGTTGGGCTGAGAGAAAGGGACTAATCTAAAATATAAACTATCCGCAATCTTCTGTGATTGAAGAATTATGAAAAAAACAATTCATTTCATAAATGTCTCAAATTTCCCATCTAAAATATTCTTTCCATGCAAATACTGAAGAATGGATGTACTGCCCTTTTCCTGACTTGATGAGATACAAGTGTATTAAGCAAACAAATATGTATAAATATGTATAAATGACAGAAATGTATATTTATCCCAAGTGTACATTATTGCTAAATAGTGCAAAGGATGGTATTTCCTAGTTTAAAATACTGACCTTTAACCTGCCGGACAGAACTGAGGTTCTTTTCAAAAGTATCATCAAATTTAGGATTTGTGATGGGTTCAAAATCACTGGTGTAAACTCTTCCAGTAGACGTTGAAAAACAACATTTGCACATACAGGTGTGATATCGTAAACGCCCTTCGTCAAGATATGGATGAGCTAAGGCATCCTTAGCGGATATTCTTTTGGACTGAATACAGAAAAATACAAATGATTGTTGCATATAGATTTTAGTTTATCACACACACACACACACACACACACACAATAATAATAATAATAATAATAATAATAATAATAATAATAATAATAATAATAATAATAATAATAATAATAATAATAAAGTTGGAAGGGACCTTGAAGGTCATCTAGTCCAACCCCCTGCTCAGGCAGGAAACCCTATACCATTTCGGACAAATGGCTGTCCAGTCTCTTCTTAAAAACTTCCAGTGTTGGAGCATTCAC